CACACACGACACACCCTTTCACTCAGGCTTTTGCAAAACAGTTGACAGCTGGCATGCTGGTGCATACTTTTAATCCCAGCACTCAGGAGGCAAAGGCAGGTGGATCTCTGTGAGTTCAAGGACAGTGTGGTCTACATAAAGTGTTGCAGGCCAGCCAGGGCTACATAGGGTCTTAACAGAAAATCATGCATGATAGGTCTTTGATCTTGTTTAAAAATTGATGGTAGAAGGTTATTTTCATGCCTGTGGTTGTGCATGGTGGCACATATCTTTAGTTCCAGCAATCAAGGCAGAAGTAGGCAAGTCTCTGTGAGTTTGAGACCAGGCTGGCTACATATTAAATCCCTGGAAAAAGAGGACCTTTTTTCAGCTGGGCATGGTGGCTCAAGCTTATAATTCCAGCACTCAGGAGGCTGAGGTAGGAAGATCACTGAAAATTCAAGGCTAGCCTGTACTACAGAATAAGCCTTTAAATTGTATTTGTTTGTTACTGGGGGCAGGGGAGGGCAGCCACCGTGTGCATGTGGAGGTCGTCTCAGGCCTGGTGGCTGGCCAGCTAACTACCTTTACCCACTGAGCACTCTTGCCAGCGCCTCAGAGCAGCATCTGCCCCATGGAGTCAGGTTTGGCTTCCCTCTGTTCCATGTACCATCCAAATTACTTGTATGACTATGGAGATCTAGAAGCTAAAAAGAAAATATGGATTTAAATCAGTTATTTTATTTAAAATCACAGTTTTGAGAATGTGAGGTGTGAACTCAGAAGCGGTGAGTTCACTAAAATATTGAAAACTGCTCACTAAAAATACCTGGAGTGCAGCCACAGGGCTCTCCCGTGCTCCCGGCTCTCACACACAGAAGAACCTGTGTTCACCCTGCTCACTCTGATTGTCCCCTCCAACCTGGCTCTGAGGTGACCTTGTTTTACTACTTTGTCTCTGAGAGACTGACAAGGGGTCTTTCCGTATGAAGTCCTTCCCCCAATACACACCCTTACAGAAAGCGTTGCTTTATAAATCTGTGTTTATTAGGTAAATCTGCTACATATCCACATGTCTATAGAAGAGTAGCCTATGTGTATAAGTATGTACAAATGACAGAGGTGAATTTCCTGTCATCTGTTGAAGTGATAATTTTTCAACATTTTGTTTTGTTTTGTTTTTTTGAGACAGGGTTTCTCCGTGTAGCTTTGTAGGCCAGGCTGGCCTCCAACTCAGAGATTTGCCTACCTTTGCCTCCCAAGTGCTGGGATTAAAGGAGTGTACCACCACTACCTTCCAGCTACATTGTTTTATTTAATACTATATATGATATGTGTGTGAGGAGGTGTATACCGTGACATAGAGGTCAGAGGGCAGCTCTGTTGAGTCAGTTCTCTTCTTCCACCATGTGGGTCCTGGGGAATCAAACTCAGGTCCCTAGTCTTGGTAGCGGTATCGAGCTGCCTTCACCCCCTGAGCCATCCTGCTGGCCCCACAAATGGGTTTTAACTGTGCAACTTGATGAATTTTCTAGAAACCAGCAAAGTGCATTCATCATCTTTCATTCCTGATTTCTCTGTATATTTCCAAAGAAGGTGACATGTCTGCATTTTTGTCTTAGGAATCTTTCAAAGAAATACCAACCCAAGAAGAACTCGAAGGAAGAAGAAGAATACAAGTATGTCGTTGCTGGTGCATGTGTGTGGTGGTTGTGAAGGGACGGGGGTGGGGTAGGGTGCATGTTGTCACAGAGGTCCCATCCCACTTTCCTGTCTGTGTTCAACTTGAGGGCGACAATGAGACTTCTTTAACCTCCCCGGCACTGAGCCACTGGACCCACTCCAGACTCCACTAAACTAATTAGGGAAGTTTTAGGAAGCCCTGCAAGCATGTGCAGTCAGTGGTTCTCAGCCTTCCTCATGCTGCGACCCTTTAATGCAGTTCCAAATGTTGTGCTGACTCCAACCATAAAATTATTTTTGTTGGTCCTACAAGAGCTAGTTCCAGGACAGCCTCCAAAGCCACAGGGAAACCCCGTCTCAAAAAACAAAAAACAAAAAACAAAAATTATTTTTGTTGCTTCTTCATCACTGTAATTTTGCTACTGTTATAAATGGTAATGTAAATACCCGATATGCAGCCCCTGTGAAAGGGTCATTTGAGAACCCAAGGTTGAGAGCCATTGTCCTAGAGTCTGGCTCTGTAGAGTCAGGAGCCCTAATTGTTTGTCCATCCTAGAGCTACATCTGTTTCGGTCAGCAGTGATGAGTCATTGCTCATGGTGGAAGCATGTCGTCTTTGGTGTAGGTCCAGGTGTCTGGTGTGTTTGTTCAGTGAACACGGGTGGGTTCTGGATTCCGAATACAGCCAGGGATTGCATTTCACAGAGCACCTGTGGCCATGTTTGGGCTGTAATTAATTCTGAGCCGCCGTGTAATGAACCAGCAAGATCCTATGGGAGGCGGGCGGGTGCAGAGCAGACTGATTTTAATTAATATTTCCTCAAGTAAAACGTGAGGATGGAAGTGGGCTTGTCTGAGAAGGAGCCGGTGTGCTCTGTCCCCAGGTACACGGCATGTAAAGCGTTTCTTTCCACCTTGAATGAGATGAATGACTATGCCGGGCAGCATGAGGTCATCTCCGAGAACATGACATCGCAGATCACGGTGGACCTGATGCGATATGTACAGGAGCTCAAGCAAGAAAGGAAATCGGTAATGTATATTGGGGTGTCTTCCCCCAAAAGATGGACTGGGTGTTTTCCCATCAGATAGCCACTTGGAGTTGGGAGTGGTGGCTCACACCTGTACTGCTAGCGTGGGGGAGAGAGGGGTAGAAAGTTCTCTGCAAATTCAATGACTACCTGGGCTACACAATGAGTTCTAGGCCTGCAAGGCTGCATAGTAGGACCCTGTATTAAATGAAAATGGGGTAGCGGGGGACAGGTACGTACTGCACGCCTTAATCTCAGCACTTGAGCAGTAGAGGAGGCAGAATTCAAGGCCAGCCTGGTCTACATAAGGAGTTTTAGACCAGCCAGGGTGACATAGTGAGACCCTGTTTCAAAAACAAACAGGGGCGGGAGAGAGGGTTCATTAAGAGCACTGGCTGCTCTTGCAGAGGACCCAGGTTTGGTTCCTAACACCCACATTGTGGCTCACAGCTGTCTTTATCTCCAGTTCTAAGGGGTCCAAGACCTTCTTCTGACCTCTTTGGGTACGAAGTACAAATGCTGTTCACATATGTACATGCAGGCAAAATACTCATACACATAAAGATAAATATAAAATAAACAAAATTAGAATCAGGTGTCATAGACAGATATATATATGGTTGAGGCCAGCAGACCAGAAATTCAAGACAACTTGCAGGAGTTAATCCTTTACCTGCTGTGCTGTCTCTCTGGAGCCTGTAGTGGGTGTCCTGTCAGTGGAAGCTCAGACTGTCAGGCCTCCCACCATATCCAATTAGCTGGCCCACATATCCACAACTGCTAGGTTGAGGAACCAGCCGTGTGTTGGAGCCCTAAACTTGACAACATTCTCTACTGAACCAGCCATCAAGGAAGGCATTTTATTTGTTTGTTCATTTATTGTTTTTCAAGATAGGGTATCTCTCTGTAGTCCTGGCTGTCCTAGAACTCGCTCTGTAAACCAGGTTGGCCTCAAACTCAGATACCCACCTACCTCTGTCTCCTGAGTGCTGGTGCATCCCCACCACCCACTGAGGCGTTTTATTTTGTCAGACAGCTAGGAAGCAGTGAGACAGAACCACAGGACTTAGAATGAAACCTTACTACCTAGTATAAAGATGATAAACACATGACTCTGGCGGCAGCCTTGGCCTGCTGCCCTGCTTTCAAACTTGCCTTGACTTTTGCAAAGGTTTCTCTCTTCATCCTGTTTAGGCTTCTGCTGTGTTCTCGCCACGGACCCTCCTCTATCACAGACTTGGCATTTTACCCAACTCCCCAAACCGAAACTGCTTTTCCCTTCTTAGCAAATGTCCATTCTGTTTTAGGACTGAGTCAGGAGGTGGGAAGTGCCTCAGAGCCACGCCCCTCCCCCAGTCCTCTTCTGCTGTGTTATTGTGGCTGGTTTCACTGCTGCACTCTGGCCTCAGGACCTTTGTACAGGTTTTTCTCTCTCAGAAAGCCCTCGCCAGATACCTCAGGGCCTTCTCAGAGCAGACTTTCCTATCTGCTTCACTCACAATGAACCAAGTTCCCCTGGCCTCTCCCCTTTCACCTTCCCTTGCTTTGCAATTTTTTTTGTTTTGTTTTGTTTTGTGCTTTGTTTTGTTTTTAGTAACAGGGTCTTTTTATATAGTCCTGGAACTCAGTTTGTAGACCTGCTGGCTTCATAGATCCACCTGCCTCTACCTCCTGAGTGCTGGGATTAAAAGTGTGCACTACCACCGCCTGGCTTCACCATGCTTTTAAAGGGAGAGACAGTCTGAGTCAGTGGGTTTGTACATGTACCACACGTGTGCAGATGTCCTCTGAGGCCAGAAGACATCATCTGATCTCCTGGAACTGGAGTTAACAGGCTGTTGTAAGCTGAGCCACCCAACATGGGTGCTGGGAACTAAACTCAGGTCCTCCTCGAGAGCAGCCAGCACTCTTAACCTCTGAGCCACCTTTCCAGCCCCTGGCATTACTCTTTACAGTATCTAGATTTGGGGGGAAGTTGGAGGAGAACTAGTGACAGGACCTTGTGTGTGCTGATCACACACACCCCACTAACCCTGCTCCTACTACAGTATCAGGTAGAATTGCCTGCTGTCTTTCCTCCTTCCTCACACAGAAATGCATGCTCTTCCAGGACAAACACATCCTTGTCCACCTCATAAGGTCCAGCGTTGCAGAAGGCAGGTACAGGAAGTGCAGTAGCTGGGAAGCAGTGGGTGTGGCCCACGGCTGGGAGAGCAGTGCAGTGGTGAGCACTTTCCTGGGTTCACCAGTGAGAGACCAGGGGTGAGGCTTAGTGGTGCACACTCGCCTCTCATGTGCACAGCTCTGGGTTCCATCCCTAGTGTGTGCATGTGTGCACATGTGCACACAACACATACACACATTGTGTTAAACACTTTAACACACCTTGTGTTGAAGTCTACTTAGTTCTAAAAGTTTATAGATCAGGATCTTCATATGCCTTTGTTATCTCGTAAATGGATTAATTATCTTTTTATAATCTGCTATATCATCTCTTAATCCATGTTGCTTAAAAAGATTTTTTTAATTAAGATTTATTTATTTTAAGCTGGTGGTGGTAGTGGTGGCACACCCCTTTAATCCCAGCACTTGGGAGGTAGAGGCAAGTGATCTCTTGAGTTCAAGGTTGGCCTGGTCTACAGAGTGAGTTTCATGATAACCAGGGCTACACAGAGAAACCCTGTCTCAAAAGAAAACAAAACCAAAAAACAACAACAACAAAAAGACTTTTTTGTTTTATGTGTATGAGTGTTTTGCCTACCTGTGTTCCTGGTGCTTAAAGTGGTCAGAAGAAGAGATTGGATCCCTTGGAACAGAAGTCACAGACTGAGCAGCCAGTGAGTGCTCTTAACCACTAAACCATCCTTTTGTTTTTAAGGAGAGTCATCAGTCCAGGCCCAGGAGTCATATGTTCTGTCTGGAGGATCTGTAAATACCACTCACTCTATTTGTTGAAGCATTCTGCAATTAAATTAAACTGACATTTAAGAACATTTTGAAATCTCGAGAAATACTGGAAAGAATGTCTGTCAACAGATACATATTTGTGGTGTTTTCATGTGTTGTTGTGAAGTCTGTCTTCTTTCCTATGTCATAACTACCATCATTTTGAAGGAATGTATAGCTCAGTGTGGTTAAGCATCAATTGGGAGGTTCAGGCAGGATTACAAATTGGAGGATGGAACTGAATACCTAGCAAGACACTGCCTCAAAAAAATGTGTGTGGTTGGACAGTGGTGGCACATGCCTTTAATCCCAGCACTCAGGATGCAGAGGCAGGTGGATCTCTGTGAATTCGAGGCCAGCCTGGTCTACAGAGTGAGTGCCAGGACAGCCAGGACTGTTACACAGAGAAACCCTGTCTCGGGCAAAAAAAAACAAAACAACAACAGCAATTTGTTCTCCCCAACCCCCCCGGCCCCAACCCAACCCCCCCCACACACCCCTTGGGAGGTAGAGGAAAGAAGATCATGGACTTAAGATCTTCCTCAGCTACACAGTGAGTTTGTGGCCAGCTCAGGCTGCACAGGAGAGGTATGGTGGCACGCGCCTTTAGTCCCCGCACGCACTTGGAAACCAGAGGCAGGCAGAGCTCTTTGAGTTCAAGGTCAGCCTGGTCTACATAGTAAGTTTCAAGACAGCCAGGGCTGCATAGTGAGATACTGTCTCAAAACAAAACAAAAAAAATCACAGACAGAGCAAAAAGCTTAGAGGGCTGTGTCCTGTGGGTGTGTTAGTGTACTGATGATCTGGGGGATTGGTTAGTCCTGCACTGACTTTTATATTAGTAGTCAGCATTGGCTGTGACTTCAGGTTAACTCTCCCCAGTAGGAGGTCTGTGGGGTCACACAGGGTCCAGCGGGGGGAGGGGGTGACACCCGGGCAGCATGGACCTCAGGGCCAAGCACAGCTCACATGGTTTTATTTCATTAGTGGTTCCCTAGCTTACCCACGAGGCCACTGATTGCACGGTGCAGCCCCTGCCTGCAGACCTTCTTCTCCAGGTCCCCAACTTTCCTTAATGGCACAAGCCAGATTATATCATTTCCTGGTTTCTGCTGAGGTCAGAACAAAGCCCCACAGACACTTGGGTCTGTCTTAGAAGCTGGACGGTGCTGGTCTGTAGGATTCTGCTGGTGGGGAAACAACTGCACGGAGTGTTTTTCTCCTTCCACTCCATGTAGCTTACAAGGAGGGACTGAACTCAGGTTGCCAGGTTTGTGCGGCAAGCACCTTTTACATGCTGGCTGAGTCATCTCGACGAACTGTAGTTTATATCCTCAATTCTCTGTTTAATAGAAGAGTTGTTTTCTATGTGTCCTCTGGAAAACAGATTGTTTTAATAATCAGATCTTTAGTAGATGTTCTAGTCATTCATAAATGAATTTACAGTGTACTTGTTATTGTTTTGTTAATCTGTAGCTTACTGGTTTTAATTGGGTTAGATTAAACAAATCTACAATCAGCTCTTTTTAGCTCTTTGTTTTGAGACAGGGTTTTGCTATATTCCAGGCTATCCTGAAATCCATGATGTAGGTGATTCTGGGTTTGAAGAACTCAGGCTCTAAGGGGGTAGTGGGCTTGCCCTACTGCACCTGGGTTAGCAGGCTCGCCCAGAAGTGAGGTGAGCTCAAAGCAGGAGTACTTTCAGCATCCTGGTTATGGTCCTCAGTCAAGCTCTGATCACTTATTAGATCAGAGTCTCCAGCAAAGTTCCATATCAGATCAGTTTTCAGGCGTCTCTGAACACATCACTGAGACCTGGACTGTCTTATCTGAGGTCTAGGTCACTGAGTAGATGACAGTTAGCACCATTGATGACTTTTGTACAGTGAAGCGACTCACTGGAGTTTTAGAGGCTCAGTGAGCTCTGCTTTTGTGTCTGTCTGTGGTCCAGTTCAGCGAAAACCACTAATCTCTTAGGAATTTGTAGAGATGTGAGGCTCCTGCTGAGGAGACCAGATGGTCTCACCAGCCTGAGTGGAGCTGCAGGAACACTTC